CACTTGAGGTTCTGTGCGATATTAAAGGTATCCCTCCTGTTATATGTCCTTTAAGCTTATTTATGTGACAGCTAACTTTAAACCCGCCAGTTTAGGATATCTTTAGGATCTATTTTAGAATATATTTAGGATGATGAAACTCCTTGTAGGATCTCGGTCATTAAAGCCTGTTCACTGTAATACTAACTTTAATAAATAATTTAATCCCATCAATAAAAGCCTGTTGTCACATTAATTCCTCTCTGTCTGTATACTCAGTTATATGACCCACATTATAACACAAATGTTTACAGCTACAGTTAAAATCCACCTTTTAACATCAGTTAATCGTAGAGGCATTTAACTGTCTCATATAAGCATTTAACCAAATAATAATAATAATAATAATAATAGTCAAGGAGAGTTGTAAGGAGAGAATTGTAGGACAGGTTAGAGAAAACGGTTTATATGGGGCCTCAATTAAAGGGATGACCTTACTATTCTGGTTGACCATGAGGTTTTGTCGCAGATAAGAAAAGAAATATAGGTTATTACACATTTTACGGTATATTGTAGATATATTTAGGGTATATTGTCGATATATTTTATGATATACTTCAGGTTTATTATAGAGATATAGATCAGGTATATTTAGGATATATTAAGTATATTTTGGGGGAACTTTACTGAAAATTACCATTGTTTATATACCCACACTGTCTAGGTGTATTGAGAGTTGTATGGCCTGACCACACTGTATACATGAGATTTCTACATATACATGATGAACTGTTTACCTGCGTTGTCCTTATACATGCGGAACTATATACCTTCATTGTCTTCATAAATGGCGAACTGTAAACCTAAAACGTCTCTAGACCAATTGTGTCTTTGTATGTCGATTTTATTAGATATATATGATTATTGTATGAAAGGTACATATATGTGTAAAGTATATATATGTCAACATAATTTTCTAATATATTTTATGAATTGTTTTGGGTATAATTTAGTCTATATCTGACTACATATACGGATATAGTTAGCTTATCGGATATAGATATTTATAAGGAAGCAACTAATATCGCCTATATATTTTAAGAATGTATTTATAACACATATATGGGTATATTTACTGTATATTTTGAAGTATATTTCAGATATGATTCAGGCATATGTAGGATCTATTTTTTTTAATATTTTAAGGATCTAATTTAAGTTATTTTTAGTGTCTATTTTAAGATATATTTTAATTTTATTTTAAGGTGTATTGTAGATTTATTTTATATATATTTAGGATATATTTCAAGCTATATTAAACAAAAATATTACACACACACAGATTTCCTTTCTCACGCTTTATTTAGCATTTATTAAATAGTAAAAATATGTGTTGGCAACTTTCCTAGGACCATAGATGACATTGCTAGGATAAATATTAATTGGGGTTAGACTACAGATGACTTTTTTTTGCTAGGATTATGGATGACTTTGATAGGACAAGGGAGAATAGTCATTGTGGTAAGGGGGCGTGATCATTGTAAGGGATAATTATTACCAGGAATAGTCTTAACTACTTCATCTAATATACCAGTTAGGGTAGAATCATTGTTTTGGATAAAGGATTCTTCTTAAAACTAGAAATAATAGGGAGAGTAGCCCCCCTTTGACACCATCTCGTTCGTGTCGTCACAGGGGTAGTGCCAAGGGAAGTCGCATTTTTGAGTGACGGGGTTGAAGACTTGCTTTTCTCCATCGACTGTGGGGCAGAAAGTGTGTTTGTATTCACCATTATTACACTTCCAGAAAGCATGGCAGTCTGATTCGTCGGGGAAATTAATAGAAGTACCGTCATTGAGAGAGGAGCACTTTTCTGGAATGGGTGGGGGAGGGGGAGGGGCAATAGTTGTTGTGGTGGTAGTGGTGGTGGTAGAAGGGGTGGTGGTAGTAGTGGTGGTAGTGGTGGTAGTGGTGGTGTGGTGGTTGAGGATTGGTCGAGCACCACAGTCTACCTGTGGAAAGAAAAGACAACGTTTGTGTACATTTATTTTTTTTTTTTGGGGTCTTTTGTTTTAAAGTTTATTTATGATGGCTCTCTCTCTCTCTCTCTCTCTCTCTCTCTCTCTGCTGGCTGTCTCTGCCTGTCAGTCTCTCCATCTGTCTGTCTTCCTGTCAGTCTCCTGTTTGTTTGCCTGTCAGTCTCTCCCTCTCTGTCTGTCTGCCTGCTCCATTCCCAGTCTGTCTTCCTGTCAGTCTCTCCGTTTGTTTGACTGTCGTCTCTCCCTCTCTGTCTGTCTGCCTGTCAGTCTTCTGTTTGTTTGACTGTCAGTCTCTCCTTCTGTCTGTCTGCCTGTCAGTCTCTCCGTTTGTTTGACTGTCAGTCTCCTCTCATCTGTCTGTCTTCTGCCGCCGTGCTTGGTTCTGCCTTCCTGTCTGTTTAGTCTTGCCTGTCCGTCTGCCCGCCCTCCCTCTTCTGTCCTGCCTCTCTCTCTCCTCCTCTGTATGTCTGCCTGTCAGTCCCTCCTCTGTCTGTCTGCCTGTCAGTCTCCTCTCTGTATGTCTGCCTGTCAGTCTCTCCTCTCTGTCTGTCTGCCTGTCAGTCTCTCCCTCTGTCTGTCTGTCTGCCTGTGTCTCCCTCCCTCTGTCTGTCTGCCTGTCAGTTCCTCCCTCCTCTGTCTGTCCTGCTCTGCTGCCCTCCTCTCTGGATGTCTGCCTGTCAGTCTCCTCCCTCTGTTCTGTCTGCCTGTCAGCTCTCCTCTGTCTGTCTGTCTGCCTGTCAGTCTCTCCTCTCTGTACTGCCTGTCAGCCTCCTCCTCCTCTGCTTCAGTCTCTCCCTCTCTGTATGTCTGCTCCTGCCCTCCCTCTGTCTGTTCTGCCAGTCTCTCCCTCCCTCTGTCTGTCTGCCTGTCAGTCTCTCCCTCTCTCTCTCTGTATGTCTGCCTGTCAGTCCTCCCTCCCTCTGTCTGTCTGCCTGTCAGTTCTCCCTCTCTGCCTGCTCGTCCTCCTCTGCTCTTCTGTCTGCCGTCCCTCCCTCTGTCTGTCTGCCTGTCAGTCTCTCCTCTTCTCTGTCTGTCTGCCTGTCGGTCTCTCCTCTGTCTGTCTGCCTGTCAGTCTCTCCCTCTGTCTGTCTGTCTGTCAGTCTCTCCTCTGTCTGTCTGCTCTGTCGTTCTCCCTCTCTGTCTGTCTGCCTGTCGCTCTCCTCTTGTCTGTCTGCCAGTCTCTCCCCTCCTCTGTCTGTCTGCCTGTCAGTCTTCCTCTTCTGCTCGCTCTGCAGTCTTCTCCTTCTGTTCTGTCTGTCAGTTCTTCCTCTGTCTGTCTGCCTGTCAGTCTTCCTCTCTGTCTGTCTGCCTGTCAGTCTTCCTCTTCTGTGTCGTCTGCTCTCCCTTGTCTGTCTGTCTGTCAGTCTTCCTCTGTCTGTCTGCCTGTCAGTTCTCCTCTCTTCTGCTGCCTGTCGCTTTCCTCTTCGTCTGCCTGTCAGTCTTCCCTCTCTGTCTGTCTGCTTTCCCCTCTGTCTGTCTGCCTGTCAGTCTCCTCCCTCCTCTGTCTGTCTGCCTGCTCTCCCTCCTCTCTGTATGTCTGCCGTCAGTCTTCCCTCCCTCTGTCTGTCTGCCTGTCAGCTCCTCCTGTCTGTCTGTCTGCCTGTCAGTCTCTCTCCCTCTCTCTGTATGTCTGCCAGCCTCTCCTCCCTTGTCCTGTCTGCCTGTCAGTCTCTCCCTCTCTCTGTATGTCTGCCTGTCAGTTCTCCCTCTGTCTGTCTGCCTGCCGTCTCTCCCTCCTCTGGCCTGTTCCTCTGCCTCCCTCTCTGTATGGCTCTGTCAGTCTCTCCTCTGTCTGTTCGCTCAGCCCTCTCTGTATGTCTGTCTGTCAGTCTCTCCCTCTGTCTGTCTGTCGGCCGTCTCTCCCTGCTCCTGTCAGTCTCTCCTCCCTCTGTCTGTCTGCCTGTCGTCTCCTCTCTCTCTGTATGTCTGCCTGTCGCTCCTCCTTCTGTCTGTCGTTCGCCGTCTCCCTTCTGTCTGTCTGCCTGTCAGTCTCCTCTTCCCTGTCCTGCCTGTCAGTCTTCTCCCTGTCTGTCTGCCTGTCAGTCTCTCCCTCTCTGTCTGTCTGTTCACCTCTCCTCTGTCTGTCTGCCTGTCAGTCTCCTCTGTCTGTCTGCCTGTCAGTCTCCTCTCTCTGTATGTCTGCCTGTCAGTCTCTCCCTCTCTCTCTGTCTGTCTGTCAGTCTCTCCTCTGTCTGTCTGCCTGTCGTCTCTCTCCCTCTCCTGCCTGTCGCCTCTCTCACCTGTCTTGCCTGCAGTTCCTCTGTCTGTCTGCCTGTCAGTCTCTCCTCTCCTGTCTGTCTGTCAGCTCTCCCTCTGTCTGTCTGCCTGTCAGTCTCTCCCTCTCTCTGTCTGTCTGCCTGTCAGTCTCTCCTCCTGTATGTCTGCCTGTCAGTCTCCTCTCTCTGTCTGTCTGCCTGTCAGTTTCTCCCTCTGTCTGTCTGCCTGTCAGTCTCTCCTTCTGTCTGTCTGCCTGTCAGTCTCTCCCTCTGTCTGTCTGTCTGTCAGTCTCTCCTCTGTCTGTCTGCCTGTCAGTCTCTCCCTCTCTCTGTCTGTCTGCCTGTCAGTCCTCTCCCCTTCTGTATGTCTGCCTGTCAGTCTCTCCTCTCTTCTGTATGTCTGCTCTGCAGTCTCTCCCTCGTCCTGTCTGCCGCCTTCCTCTGTCTGTCTGTCTGCCTTGCCGTCTCTCCTCTGTATATGTCTGCCTGTCTGTCAACACCTTTTCTATTTTCACTTCCTCAACCATTTTATCATGTTCTGTGTAAACAAAGTGATCAAATATAATCTGCACACACACACATACACACACACACACACACACACACACACACACACACACACACACACACACACACACACACACACACACACACACACACACACACACACCACACACACACACACACACACACACACACACACACACACACACACACACACACACACACACACACACACACACACACACACACACACACACCTCACATGCTCTGGATCGTCGCAGACCTCCATGGTGTCATAGAAATTCCTTTTGGCAGCATATAATAGGCGAGGCATCGCCATTATGACACCTGATGTAGGAGGAACAGTCGGCGTCGTTGGTGATTATAAGAGGTTCGGGGGGATTTTCACCCAAACAATTTGCTTTGATGTCGTCGGGGATGTCGGGATAGACGAGTTTCCCATCCACACACCCCGGTCCATACCCTTCGTCCTCTGGAAACGCCTATCCTCGGAGTTGGGAGAGGAGAGAAGTAAGGGAGGTTAGTTTATAAGAAAGTATATCATTATTATCTTTAGTTATTCTAGTCTCGTGGTGGGGTAGGGAGGTGTTAGGGGGGGCAGAGCCATACCTGATACCGTGTCCCCTGGAGGTCACAAGCACAGACAGGTGAACTATATTGATGTTACACCTGTTCAATATAACCAGGTATCTGAGAAAGAAAAAATACATGATTTGGTTTCGTATTGTATGTGTTCTGAGCTGTGTGTATGATGGCTCTCTCTTACATTACCTAACCTAACCTAACGTCCTGGGGCCCATTAGACCTTGGGGCCCATTAGACCTTGGGGCCCATTAGACCTTGGGGCCCATTAGACTTAGAGGCCGTAACAAACATTGACTATAATAAAACTAAGGTCCTTAGACACATTTTTGAGGATTAGGTTAGGTTAGGTTAGGTTAGGCTAGGCCAGGTTAGGTTAGGCCAGGCCAGGTTAGGTTAGGCCAGGTTAGGTTAGGTTAGGTTAGGCCAAGTTAGGTTAGGTTAGGTAGGCAGGTTAGGTTAGGTTAGGCCAGGTTAGGTTAGGCCAGGTTAGGTTAGGTTAGGTTAGGTTAGGTCAGGTTAGGTTAGGACACAGTGCCCGGGCTTGAGTGGCCACTGGGTCGTCTCACCTCCCAGTATTCGTAGAGGGAGGAGGCGAGGGTGAGGGCCGGCAGGACACACACCAACAGGAGACGCTGCATCTGTTGACCGTGAGAGAACAGCTTGTTGACAACATGAATTAAATATTATTTATATAAGGTTTGGTCCAAGTGCCTAACCTAACCTAACCTAACCTCACCTTGAGGATGAGAGAAGACTGAGTGTTCAGTGAGGTCACAATAAAGAAGCGATGATTCACTGTGTAGGTGTTGACAAGATGCGTCATGTAAATAGCCCTGCATCACCCATACGGTCATACATCATTTGAATTAAAAACAAACAAAGACACACTAGTTCAGTTGGCTTGTTGAGAAACTATGGAATAATTCCTGAACAAAATAGTTATGAGTACAGTGAGCTGTGAGGAGTGGAAACTGACGCCTCGTGTGTGTCAGGTGACGATTCTCACCACAACACTCGTCCCCTTGAGCTGAGTTCCCGCGCCGAGAGATAAGGCACAAGTCCCTCACATGCAGAGATAAAACTTGCTTAACAAGTCGATATGCTTTGTCTTAGCGAGGGAAGGTATTTGCAAGTACGGATATATATATATATATATATATATATATATATATATATATATATATATATATATATATATATATATATATATATATATATATATATATATATATATATATATATATATATATATTCGTCTTGTGACATCACCTTGAGAAAGAAAGAGAGATATATTTTCTCTCATCATATTCCATGTTTTGATTTTGTTGTTTGTCATTATATACGAGTATATATCCCAATAGATTGTTAGTAATTATTAACACAAATAATGGATGGTAATTCAGTACACTGTAAAGGTCTAACTCTTATACAAGTGGGTAATATAGACGTGAGGGTGAGTTAGGGGCAGTGTGGATGTAGCACACTGTAGGTCAAAGATTGTTTTAGTACACAAGGTCAGTGCTGCACTCGGACGCCTTCATCAAGTCAAGTATCATGTTAGATACTTAGTTACACATGGGTTGACTAGGGAACCCGGGTGCTAGCCAGCTAGTTTAATGCTGCCTGCGTAACACAGTTTTACGTTTCGACTCTTACTTAACCTAACCTAACCTAACCTAAACTAAACTAAACTAAACTAAACTAACGTAACTTAAGACGTAAACAATATTAAGATAATATATCAAACGTTAAACTGACTTATGTTAGGAATGTCAACTTTTCGTCGTGTGAAAACATTACTAACTGACTCAGGTAAAGATCAATTCTCAAAGGTTAAGGAACAAAACCCAAATTAAGGTGCACACAGATCTTTTAGAATACGAGCTGTAATCCTTAAAGCCAAGAGGTGGCTGGTGACAGTGTGTATCCATCACCCACTTAAGCCTGGTCCTGGCACTCACCGTGTCTGGGGGAGAGTAATGATGACTAACACCGTCTACTGTATATAAGGCCTCTTGGTCCTCAGTTACCATGGAGTCATTTTTTGCTCGATTGTATCACTCAAAACAAATATAAATAACCTGTACATGAATATAAAACTAAATAACCTAAGGAATATTAACGAGAGTAAGTTAAGACTCTAATTAGGCGCATTTGTTAATTTAGTTATATCAAATGTAAGAAGATATCGTACGTCTGGCATTATCCTACTGAAATGTACGATACTTTCCTTCCGATTTTTATGCAGTGTTCCTATGTCGGTTCCCTTGTGCAGGTGAGTCTGAACGTATACACCTGCCACCAGGTAAATATTTTTATTTCTGATAACAAAAATATCGTAAGTTTTAATAATAATAATAATAATAATGATAATAATAATAATAATAATAATAATAATAATAATAATAATAATAATAATGAAGGTAACAGGGGAATAATTAAGAAAAATAATATACGATTTTTAAAGAGAATTGGCATTTGTAAATAATCTATCCTGACTGGTTGATAGAGATATAGATCGACCGAGAAGTGGATTACATATTGAGAGAAGACAATTTACACTTGTACCTCGTGAGTCTGCCTGCAGCGTCTTAATTGACCTTCGTCTTCTCACAAATCAACGCCTTCCAAGAACTCAGAGGACAGCAGGCAAGGTTCTCATGTGCCAAGTGCCTGGGTGTGTTAGAGGGGTGTAGGTGTGTGTTGGAGGTGTGGGTGTGTGTTGGAGGTGTAGGTGTGTGTTGGAGGTGTAGTGTGTGTGGTGTGTGTGTGGATGTGTGTGTTGGGGTGTAGATGTGTGTTGGGGGTGTGGTGTGTGTTGGAGGTGTGTGTGTTGGAGGTGTGGTGTGTGTTGGGTGTAGATGTGTTGGGGTGTAGGTGTGTGTTGTGGGGTGTAGAGTGTGTTGGGGGGTGTAGGTGTGTGGGAAGGGTGTGGGTGTGTGTGTTGGAGGTATATGAAGGGGTGTAGGTGTGTTGGGGTTGTGGTGTGTGTTGGAGGTGTGGGTGTGTGTTAGAGGGTGTGGTGTGGGGTGTAGGTGTGTGTTGGAGGGTGTAGATGTGTGTTAGAGGTGTAGGTGTGTTGGGGTTGTGGGTGTTGGAGGTGTGGGTGTGTGTTAGGGGGTGTAGGTGTGTTAGAGGGTTGTAGGTGTGTGTTGGAGGGTGTAGGTGTGTGTTGGAGGTGTGGGTGTGTGTTAGAGGGGTGTAGATGTGGGGGGTGTAGGTGTGTTGGGGTTGTAGGTGTGTGTTGGAGGGTGTGGGTGTGTTGTGTTGGTGTAGGTGTGTTAGAGGGTGTAGGTGTGTGTTGGAGGTGTGGTGTGTGTTGGAGGTGGTAGGTGTGTGTTGGAGGGTGGGTCTGTGTTGGAGGTGTGGGAGTGTGTTGGGTGTAGGTGTGTGTTGGAGGGTGTGGATGTATGTTAGAAGGGTGTAGTGGGTGTGGGTGTGTTGGGGTGTAGGTGTGTGTTGGAGGGAGTGTAGGTGTGTTGGAGAGTGCAGGTGTGTTGGAGGGAGTGTAGTGGGTGTAGGTGTGTTGGGGTGTAGGTGTGTGTTGGGGGTGTGGGTGTGTTGGAGGGTGTAGGTGTGTGTTGGAGTGTGGTAGGTGTGGGTGTGGGGGTGTGGGTGTGTGTTGGAGGGAGTGTGGGTGGAGGTGTGTTGGAGGGTGTGGGTATGTTAGAGGAGTGTGTTGGGTGTAGGTGTGGAGGGTGGGTGTGTGTTGGAGGTGTGGTGGGTGTGGGTTGTTGGGGTGTAGGTGTGTGTTGGAGGTGGGGTGTGTGTGTTGGGAGAGTGTTGGGTGTGTGTTGAGGTGGGTGTGTGTTGGAGGGAGTGTGGTGGGTGTGGGGTGTTAGGGGGTGTGAGGTGTGTGTGTGGAGGTGTGGGTGTGTGTTGGAGGGTGGTAGGTTGTGTGTTGGGGGGTTGTAGGTGTGTGTTGGAGGGTGTAGGGTGGTGTAGGTGTGTGTGTTGGAAGGGTGTAGGTGTGTGTTGGGAGGAGTGTGTGGAGTGTGGGTGTAGAGGTGTAGGTGTGTGTTGGAGTGTAGTGGGTGTGGGTGTGTGTTGGAGGGTGGGTGTGTTGGAGGGAGTGTAGTGGGTGTAGGTGTGTGTTGGAGAGTGTAGGTGTGTGTGTGGAGGGTAGTGGGTGTAGGTGTGTGTTAGGAGTGTAGTGGGTGTAGGTGTGTTTTGGGGGTGTCCATTAAACTCCAACTCCTCCCTCCTTCTTCCTCCTCTTCTTTATCCCCTCCTTCTCTTCATCCTTCCCGTCCTATTCCTTCCCTTTTCTTCCTCCCTGTCTTCTTTCTTCTTCCTCGTCCCTGTCCTCATCCTCCTCCCCTCCCCTCTCTTCTCCTCCCCCCCTCCTCCTCCTTCCCACCGCATGTGAATCAGTCATCTGGTGGTGTTATCATTACACAGTGGTACCGTCTGGGAGGTCACTATGGCACGCAGTAAACCTTCACCTGTATCGGGTGTGTTAAAAGCTGCCTGCCAACATCCTGCGACTACGACTATAAATATTGCTACCGTTGTTACTTTACTGGTGAAACTGTTAAGATAATAATAATGATGAATATAATAATAAGTATAATAATAATAATAATAATAATCTAGAGTCATTGTTATTACATTATTATTATTATTATTATTATTATTATTATTATTATTATTATTATTATTATTATTTGTTGTTGTTGTTGTTATTTGTTGTTGTTATTGTTGTTTTTGTTTGTTGTTATTTGTTTTGTTGTTGTTGTTGTTGTTGTTGTTGTTTTTTTGTTTTTGTTTTTTTTTTTTTTGTTGTTTTGTTGTTTTTTGTTTTTTTGTTTTTTGTTTTTTTTGTTTGTTTGTTTGTTGTTGTTGTTGTTTTGTTGTTGTTGTTGTTGTTTTGTTGTTGTTGTTGTTGTTGTTGTTTTTATTTGTTTTTGTTGTTGTTGTTATTATTTTGTTTTAAAATATACAGGTAAACGGAGGAAACTCAGGAAGGGAAGAAATACCTAAGATAAACAGAGAGAATGATGAAAAAATACAATATGAAGCGAAGAAGAAATAAAAAGAAATCAAAAGGAAAGAAAAGAAAGAAAGAAAAGAAAAGAAAGAAAGAAAGAAAAGAAAGAAAAACTACTGTACCATGACATTAACATCTTTGACATCTCAATCAGATTAGGGACTGTAATTTCCTCTTCAATCCTATTCACAAGAGTTTCTGATCTCATGTCACTAATTCAGACTCCCCCCCCACCTTACCCCCTCCGCCACCACCCCCCCTCCACCCCCTCTCTCTACCCAGACCTTTTAATTAATCCTTTTGGGGATTTTTTGGAAGAATTTTGTGCCTTCGAGATGATGAAAAAGCGAGGGAGAGGATGGTGGTGAGGGCAGGAAAGCTGAAGGTGAAGGAGGATGGTGGTGGTGAGGCAGAAAGCAGTGAAGGGAGGTGGTGGTGGTGAGGGCAGGAAAGCTTGAAGTGAAGGGAGGATGGTGGTGGTGAGGGCAGGAAAGCGAGGTGAAGGAGGATGGTGGTGGTGAGGCAGAAAAGCGAGGGGAGGTGAAGGAGGTAGGTGGTGGTGAGGGGCAGGAAGCAGGGGAGGTGAAGGGAGGTAGGTGGTGGTGAGGGGCAGAAAAGCAGAAGGTGGGTGGTGGGTAGTGAGCAGAAAAGCAGGGGTAGGGTGAAGGTAGGTGGTGAGGAGAGGCATTTTTCGTAATATAAATTATATTCCTGAGGTGAAAGTTACTTACCACTCGTGTTATTACTATTATTACGAGATTACTACTACTACTACTACTACTACTACTACTACTACTACTACTAATAATAATAATAATAATAATAATAATAATAATTTTAATAATAATAACAATAATAATAATAATAATAATAATAAATTTTAATAAAGTTATCTAAATCACCCCCAAAATACCAACTACTGCTACGATATCTGCCCACACTTTACAATACCCGTCCACCCTACGATAACTTGCTAACTTTACTCTGGCAGCGCGGTACGATAACAGCAGACGTCACTCAAAGGGCAGCGAGGTGTGGCATACGGTATTCACTCTTAATTTACAGTCAGACGAGAGGTGTCAGGTTTACCAGCCGCTGCACGCTAATGTGGTGCAGGTACTGTACATCAGGTGTCAGCATAGATATTGATTAAGCATATTAGTGACCTGATGGTGTTGTCGTGTTTGGCCTCAGTGTGTTGGTGGGTGTACGTGCATCTGGCAGCAGTGTGTGTGTATGTGTGTGTGTGTGTGTGTGTGTGTGTGTGTGTGTGTGTGTGTGTGTGTGTGAAGGTGATTGGTCCTCCTCAGTACATTATATATAATTAGCTCATGTCTCTCTCTCTCTCTCTCTCTCTCTCTTCTCTCTCTCTCTCTCTCTCTCTCTCTCTCTCTCTCTCTCTCAAAACCAAGCGCCAAACTCTCCGGTCTGATAAGCTGAATACAATGGCCACTTGGAGCAACAACCCCCACCTCCCCTCACCTCCCCCCACCCTCACCTCCCAACCCCACACACGGTCAAAACTCAAATCAGCAAATCCAGTACTCAGATTTATAATGCAGGTGGGGAGGGAGGGAGGAAGCAGGGAAGAGGAGTGGGAGGGAAGCAGGAGAGAGGAGGAGGAAGGTCATAATATCATTCAAGGAATTTATAAGACATGTTTCTAATTATTCCTAACCTGACCTGACACTGACCTAACCTAACCTAACTTGACCTGACCTAACTAACCTCTAACCTAACCTTGACCTGACTGACGTGAGCCTAACCTAACCTAACCTAACCTAACCTAACTTAACTTAACTTGACGTGACCTAACCTAGCTTAACTTGACCTGACCTGACCTGACCTGACCTAACCTAACCTCCTAACCTGACCTGACCTGACCTGACCTCCTGCTTGTTTATCACACAACAAGCTCTGGCAGTGGCACATTCACCTTGGCACTCCTTACTGATGGTTTAAGTCTTAACCCTTTGAGGACGATGGTTTAAGTCTTAACCCTTTGAGGACGATGGTTTAAGTTTTAACCCTTTGAGGACGATGGTTTAAGTCTTAAC